GCCTTTGTCCACCCCTTATATACCTTCCCCGCCCCCGGAAACTGCTCGGCTACCTCGGGTAACCAATAGGGAGCCGAGTTTACCAAGAGCGACGGCTTTAATAGCCTATAGTTCCGGACCGCCTACGCCACGTCTTTTCTCCCGTTGGTAGGAGTTCTGCTCACTGATGATTGGTCCGTTTGACCTCAGCGTACCTGACGGTATGAACCGTCATGCGTCTTTGCGCGGATTGGCCAATATGACGGCAGGCGGGTCGGTCATGACGCAATATGGATAATGATTGGATGGCAGCCGAGTCACTCATGCTACTAAGCTACCCACTCTGTAAGGGAGGGAGACTAAAGGGCCTGTCAACTGCTACAGTGTAACCAATGGCTCCGCTGTCCGCCATGCAGCCTCAGCCACGTGGTGCGCATGACCCTGAGCTGCCAGGCTCGCCTAGCGTGTGTGGGGGGGGAGCTGGTTTCAGTGGCAAGCTAGCCCCCCCCCCCTTTCCCCAACAGAAGGGAGGCCACTGATTGCCCGTCAGCAAAGCCCGCCCTTGTGGCTGGCCTGGGACTCAGAATAATGGGATTCTCTTTGTTCAGTGGCAGACTCACTGCTACTGTCAAAAGCCACTTTACCCCCAATTTAGGGTGATTTTCAGAGGGGCTGAATATCCCCAGCTCCGCCTGAAGTTAGTGATTTCCAGGCACCCCAAAATCACTGTTGAATAGGTTAAACCAGATCACAGGATGGTCTGTAAAATATTTCAGTGGGGGGATGCGTATCTCAGAAAGTACAATTAAATGGGCCACAGGACAGGTTATAAATAAAACTGTGATAACTGTAGGCACAATATTAAAAAGCATCAGAATGTAATCACATTTTACTTGTACACACGTTACATAAGATTTCAGTGCTTTTGAAACTGGCTGGTTTGGAAATCCTTTGTTTAGATTTCAGTTGGTTGGGGGAAATGTAAGGAATTGCAGTCATTAACATTTTTATTGAATTTAGCCTGGTCTACAGCTCAGGGAGGCATCACAGATAAAGCTGGAGAGATAACAGATTATTGTCTCGGCAATTTGATATAGGCCCAGTCATTTCTAATTGGAACATTTCTAGCAAATCAAAACGTTTAAAAAAACAGGTCAAAGGAAACATTTGCTTGTGCCGATTTTTAAACATTTTTAAAAATATTTTATATAAAATAAGAGGAAATGTCTGGTCATCCAAATTAGACCTCACTTTTGAACATATCAAGCAACATCTTACTATACCAGAATAGTCCTTCTGTACCATACTTCAGTATCTCCATAGAGGAAATTGAAATGTTTCCTCTCACAATGCCAAACACCCCATTTTGATATTTTCGAGGAGATTTGAGGTTTTTTTCCTAAATGAACTATTTGACAAAATCAACACAAATTCACAAAACATTTTGGTATTACCAAATCTGTATTTCTCATTCCAAAAAAATAAGCTTAGCATAAGAAATTTCATGCAGTTTAATCACAAGTGAAAATTTTCCAGTTAGAAAAATAATGTAATTTAATGAGCCTCCATTATTATATAAAAGTAGTCATTCCATTTAAGCTGTGACATTGAGCTTTGTGGTAACATTTTAATCCACCACTAGATTTTACTACCAGTCCCAAGAAGGTTGTATGGAAAAAAATGTCAGCTAGCTGGTGGAAAAGCAGATTTGGGCTGGGACGCAAAAATATTTATAACATGGGAACCCCACTAGAGAACTACTCTGAAAAGTAATACTACACAGATCTCTATTGCATAATACTACTATCACCACATTCTGCAGATCAATATACAGTAGCCCAAATACATCCCACGTGGATAGCACCATTGAGTGCAATAAAGTTATATAATGGACTCATTTAGTTGCTATTATTAGAGCCATGTGGCATTTGGTAGTTTCAGTTTTGAGCATTTCAATTCATGCAGGTTTGCAATTTCTCCCCCAAGCCCTCTGTTTCACATTCAATTTCAAGGAGACCAAAAACTCAAAGCAAAACTCAATCAAAACCAAATCTTGTTCTTGTTTTTCTACTGAAACCAAAACATTCATGTGGTTTTGGTGTGAAATTGTAAAGTGGGCCCAGGTTTGTTGAAATTGTTTATTAAGTCTTTGGATGATCCAAGGCAGAGCATTTACCATGTACATGAAACAAAGTTTCATGGATTCCACTATAACTTCTGCTTTTAAAGAGATAATTCTTACTGCTCTAATTAGTTTTGTAAAACATTATATACATAACCAGCATGATACCAATGAACTTAATGCCAGCAGGATGGATCCCAAAATGATGTTTCAAAATGGATGCTCTCCTGAGATGGGAGTTCCAGTTGCCAAGAGCAGTAAACATTTCCACCGCTAGGTGTCTCAGTGGTTGTATTACAGGGAAAGCATTTTTTAACTCATGCTAACCAAAATACAAATAACTGGCATTTTCTTCATCACACTGGAGTATTTCCATTCAGTGGGCAGCGAAAACAGAGAATATTCAATATACAGTCAATATTGCTGCCTTTGCTTAAGTGAAAGATATTTTTAGTTTAGGGTGCTTCCATTTGACAACATTCTTTAGATTGCATACCAAGAATGAAAAGCAATGGAGAAACAACGATGTTCATTTGCCACACACCTACAGGACAAGAGGGGAGTGGAAACAAGGAGCAACTCTTGGGACCAACTACCAATGCACTTTTAGTTCCAGGATGCTGTGTGTGGGATGTAAACAAGATATCTTGTGGCTAACAAAGACAGACAAATAGATAAGAAGGACTTTGAATTGTATAAAAGACAATTTAAGCAGAGAGTCTCTAGGGGAGACTTCAATCTGGTCTTATTGGGAGGAACTTCCTAGGAATATGAGAATAATTGGGAAGGTTGGACCAGTGACCTACACACAGTATTTGTATGGAGCATAGTAAAGAATGAATTCATTGAATGTTGTCATATAGGGGCATGAGATTTCAAGAAAACTCATTGTAGGCAATCATTACATCTGGTGAGAAAGGAACAGAGAGAAATCATTCCGTGTGAAAAAATGCTACAGAATATAGCTAAAAGACTCTATAAATGAGACATTATGGACTTTAGTTTCTCTGAAAAGAATACGGGGAATAAGAATCAGTAAAAATGACATCACAAGGCATTCTGAGGTCAATATCTATATGAACTGGAAAGCGAAAAGGAGGAGACAACCAAACAAGAATTCTCAGAATCAGTTAATATATTCAAGAAAGATAGAAAAATGGCAAAACAAGCTAACACTATTAAATAGGCTAAGATGGCTCTTGCAAATGTAGAGGAACATGGCATTTAGGGAGAAAGAAAGTCCAGTAATAAATGAACAAGGGTGGCAAATTAGTGATTGGAAAACAGCTGAGACACTAAACTGCTTTTTTAAATGCCATGAAAAGAAAAAAAATGCAGCCTGATTATGCAACCTCAGAGGACTATCCACAGGAAGGATGCAGAAGAGATGGAAAACTGTATGCTATTTGCCTCATGGAGCTTCAGGGAATTCTCTCTCATGTGTGGCCTGGCGCTTTGAACTGTTAAATATCATCTCATTCTTATCACTCCAGTTTCAAGTTCCTCCAGACCTTCCTTTATGATATTCTGCTCTCCTTTTGGATTGCCAATACCTCCTCGTTTTATATCATCTGCAAATGTTATTAGCATGCTCCCACTTTTTGTGTCAAGGTCTCAAAAGTAATCCCTGCAGAATTTCACTAGTAACCTCCCTCCAGCCTGACAATTCACCTTTCAGCATGACCTGTTGGTAGTCTCCCTTTTAACCTGTTCCTTACCCACCTTTAAATTCTTATATTAATCACCATCTTCTCCAATTCAGAGAGATCAGAGCAATTATATTCCTTTTAGGTAATAATTCAGATATCTTCTCAAAGAAAGGGATCGGGTAGATCTGGCATGATTTACCTTTTGTAAAGCCATGTTGTATGTTATCTCTTTGCCTGGGAAGTGCAGAGAACAAGCCAAATTGAAGAAGTGTCCATCTAATCATATGCGAAGACTTGTCAGGAAATCTTTGAAGAGAATAATCCTTAGGAAAGTGCTCGTGCATTTGGGGAGACACAGGG